AAAGGAATAAAGAAACGACATCTGAATTATATTTATCAAATGAAATAATCATACAAAGACATATTTACAACTCCTATGGTCCTATGTAGTAAAAATAGAATCATACATGAACTGTTTATTAGATCGAAACAAATCAAATGCAGTGAAATTTATTGATATGTATTCACAAGGAGCGCCCCTCATCTACTCATGAGACAGGCTTTGCTATATGCTTACTACGTACGTTAATTTTAGAAGACACATTTTTAAATACCATCTTAACACTCCTTAGTCATGGTACATTAATTCAAGAGATGTCTCAAGAGTGTAGGATTCTAATAAGTTAAAGATATAAAAAAAATTGATACGTCACCATTGTTTTATAACACGAACTAACCCTCGGTGGCCACATGTTGTCGGCACCAAATAAGAGTAAAACAAAAGCCGTCGTTCTGAGAAAAAAACGGATTTTGATGAAATTGTATTTTATAAATTTGATAAACAATAAAAAATTTTTTTCAAATAATCTTATTAAAAAAAAATTTTCAGTCGGCACGATTTAAGTGGGTCGGTCGCGTTAGGGGAAACAAAGGTATTTTTTATTTTGGCCTAAGCTCCCCCCAACTTTGTTGAGTTGAGCTAAAAACCTGCTAAAAATACCTTTGATTATTACAACTTTGTACTCTGTTTGCTCCTGGATGCCTAGGAGCAGAGAAAATTTGCAAGGAATATTGCACTTTCACTATAGATTCAACACAGCTCCACCCTAACAACAGAACCCATGACTGAGGGGCAATGAAAATCAAAATTTTGTAAAAGGCATACTTGCTCATCATAACTATGCACTTAGTTGAAGATTTCAAAGAATTAAGACATTTTCACTATATATAATCCATAGAGCTCCACCCTTACACCAGAACCCCTGACCCTGGGGTCATTAATTTCATTATTATGGAGAAGGCATCCTTGCTCATCATAACAATGCATTTAATTTGTTTGCTTAATACCCAAGAGCAGGGAGGAAGATTTTCAAGAAATAATGTATTTTCACTATAATCAATAGAGCCCCAACATAACACTAAAGCCCCGACCCAGGGGCCAAGAAATTCATAATTTTGGAAGAGGCATCCTTGCTCATCATAAGGCCAAATAAAATTAAGTTTTGAATTCTTATCCCTGCCCACCCCTCTCAAAGTGTCCAGCTGGATTGTTTTTTTTTAATTACTTTTTGCTATGTGTTTGTTATTCCCATTGTTTTTTTATTTTGTTTTTCACTATAATGGTGAGTAAATATAAAACACTTTATTTCACAGTTTTGGAAGAGGCACCTTTGCTCATCATAACAATGCATTTAAAACATGATTGTGACTTAAGTTAGTTTGCTTGCTAAATAGCCAGGAGCAGAGAAGAATTTTTTTTTTTCAAAGGAATAATGTATTTTCACTATATAATCAATTGAGCCTCATCCTAATACCAGAGCACCAAGACCCAGGGGCCCAAAAATTCACAATTTTGGAAGAGGCATCCTTGCTTATCATAAAGTATATTTGCTAAATACATACAGATAGAGCAGAAGATTTTCAAAGAAACAATGCATTTTCACTATATATTCAACAGAAGACTTCCCTAGCACCAAAATCCCTGGCCCAGGGGTTATGAATTTCGCAATTTTTGAAGAAACACCATTGTTCATCATATCTATGTACTCATTCTGTCTTCTTAATACCCAGGAGTAGAGAAGAAGTATCAATGAACCTTAAACCTTATGCATTTTTCATGTTTTGATAACATCACTTCCAGTCCAGGGATATTGTTGATTTAGGGATTTTTTTAAGGGCCACTTTCCACATTTTCTCAAAAACACTTCTAGATAGAAACATAAAACAGTATGGTAGAGCAATATGTGTAGAATCGATTCCTGACAACTTTTCCTGGAAAATCCTGCATGCATTTTTAGCTTTCTAGCTTCTTGGGGTAGTTAGGTAATTCTGAGTCAATTCAGCACTTTTACAACTAATTGATGTAAAATTAACTGTTTTAGCAATCATGATTTAGTATGACAAATAATAGAAAGATGTCGGACATTTTGGATGTAAGGTATAGGGAAAAAGAGTGAGATCTGGAATACAATCTGCAATAGGCTGGGCATACTAAACACAAGATGAAACACTTCCTTTCAACTTGGCTTAATGGTGGCTTATAGGTCCTTAATGATGGCTTAATGGTTGTCTTTAAGTCACCATTAAGCACCATTAAGCTATCTTTAAGTAATAAATACACCACCATTAAGTTACCATTAAGCCATTTCAAAGTCCTTAATGGTTGCTTAAAGGTAGCTTATTGGTGGCTTATAGGTGCTTAATGGTAGATATTGAGCTGATTTTTGGTATGTGACTTTACCTTGATGAGTTATAGATCAAGTTTGCATTTCGTTCCATTTCAATGATTTTTGATGGAATTATGGCATTTTCAATTTTTAGCGGGAACCAGATCACACTTGCCGGTAGGGGACTTGTATTGCTAATGCAATACTCTCAGAATGCTTATTCTTTGATGGAATGTGGAGAATTCTCATGGATTCATCTAAGTCAATAGCATAGATCTTCAATCTTTAAGCATTGATTTAACATTTTTGTTTTCAGGTGATTTTCTTTTAAATATAATTCAATTATTTCCACAAAATTAACAAGCATTTTGAGAGTATTGCATTAGCAATACTAGTCTCCTACCGGCAAGTGTAACCTGGTTCCCGTTAAAAATTGAAAATGCCATAAATCCGTCAAAAATCAATGAAGCGGAACGAAATTCAAACTTGATCTTGAAATCATCAAGGTGAAGTCACATACAAAAAATCAGCTCAATATCTGCAAGCGTTTAGAAAAAAAGTGCGGAAAACCCTGAAATATTGAAAAGGTCATAATTCCGTCAAAAATCATTGAAGCGGAACAAAATGTAAACTTGATCTGTAACTCATCAAGACAGACTCATATACCAAAAATCAGCTCAATATCTGCGTTTAGAAAAAAAGTGCGGAAAACCAAGTGGGACAGACGGACAGACAGACAGACGGACGGACAGACTCAGAGGAAACCTATAGTCCCCTCCGGTTTCACCGGTAGGGGACTAACAAGTTTTGAATGAGTTTCGTATTTTACGAAACTCCTTTCAGTTTCTCTTTTACATGAACGAAAACGATGAGATGTTCAATTTATTGTTACAAATGTTTAGGAAATACATCCTTTTAAAAATCTGTATCTAATAAATTATCATAGAAAAAAATAGTCAATGATAATTTATTAGATACAGATTTTTAAAAGCTCAAATATTTACTACTTCATTGATCTAAAAAATACTTCAGTTGAAGTCATTTTCCATTGAAAAGATTTTTTTCAATTCTATCCAGTCAGAATTGACTGGTATATCAAATGAACACTTTTATCTGCCTTTTTAAATTATGGTTCTAAATTAAAGGATGTTGATTAAATAAATATTTATCTCCAATTATTCAATTTCAAGTCTTAAATTCGTATATTGCTACATTGTAATTGCAAACTTTAAGTCATTTCTATCTCTCTTTGATGTGACGTTACATAACAAAAAATGACGTTCCTATTGCATTTTTCTTTCAAAACACTGCCATATTGCAATATCTATTTTTCAAAAAGTATACGCAGCTAGGTTAAGGACTCCCATATATACGTCAGCCTATGCAGAGGTTCGGGAAAGCTATTATGACGTCACGTTAAAACAATACAAATGAATCTCGATGAATAAATACTATATGTTCTTTTTAAAACACATTAAATACTTTCGTTTATCATAAATATTATAAAGATAAATGGATGTGCAACTTATCTTGCCATAATAGCACTTAGCGTATGTAGAATGAAAGTCAGCTTGATCTCACTGTACTTACTGAGATGACGTCATTTCTTAGTTTGACACGCAGTTTCTCTGTACTTGAGGCGTGGATCAAGCTTTTATCGTAGCTTGTAAAAATAAAAATAAATACGAAACACGCGTAGTCGGACCAAAAGAGAGAAATATTCTGAAATATATTAATCCACATTTTATTGTCAAACTAAATTGATAATGTGTAGACTTTATATTAGGCCGTAGGGAGCACATTTGTACAGTAACATGCTAGAATGACAGGTCCAGCCCCTCGAAAATATCAAAAGTTCAACGATATCCGCTTCACTATAAATTCTTAATTTTTAAACACGTGTAGCTATTATCCCTACTATTCTGAAAAGTGCTGGGAGCTGGTTGTGCATTGTTGATTTATTCCGTAATGTAACATTATTCCAATGCGAATTACATTTTTGACTGGAGTTTATAGAAAGACGGCTAAATTTTAAACAATTCCCGATCATGAGGAAGTTGCTCCCAGCACTTTTCGTGTTAAGGAATTTGTCTCAAAGAAAACAGAATAAATTTTATAGCGTAAAAATGCCCGTATATCGTTGAACTTTTACGATCTTTGTAGTAGTACATATATGTTCTAATTTTAAAACTGTCACGTGACAAACAGCTGATGTAAGCTATGTCGTTTTGGCTGAACTCAGCAGAGACCCGATATATACAAGTGCAAACACCACATATCACATTTATCAAAACTAATGCTGTTAAAAAAATTATTAAAATTGTATTCATTTTCCCTGAATACTTTAAGGCGTATATTTCATGGGCGTCCTTAACCTAGCTGCGTAATAGATATTGAAAAAAGGGAAAAGGTTATGAAAAGCGAAAATTCTATATTAATTTTTGAGAAGAGGCCGTTTTTGATGCTTTGTGGACTTAGCTCTTTATAGGTAATAGGTGTCTTGCTCCTATAATAGTATTTCAGTACAAAATTTGAAAGTGGTACAATGAAAACTGTTTGCATTGAGTTATTGTATCACAACAAAAATGTTCAGACAGATGGACAGACAAACAAGGTGATTCCTATAGGGCTCCCACATTTTCATACAAAAAATCATTGCTAATCAATAAACAAGTATTGATGGAGAAGTACTCACAACATTCCATTGTCACTTTTCTATCCTTTTCTAGTGTATCTAGCACCTGAATACACTTCAAAGACTCCAGGGCAAATACAAACTTAGAATACAATTCCTTTTTCTTTAAAATTTCAAGGAGCTCCTTCACACGTTTGTATTTTCTATCAGGAAAAGTCACATCATCATGGTCTCTGATCGTAATGTCACCAACTTCAAACATTTTATCCACAATTTCCTTGGGTTCCAGTTCTTTATGTAAGCAAGATAAATGTTTCTGTAGGAGTTCATCCGTAACAACAATATGGGGCTTTTTCTGTGTGAAATCTGTAATAATGAGATTCCATGTTCTGAGGTTAATACACAATATGCACTTCAAGCATGTATAGAAATTATTTAATGTACTTTTAGAAACAAAAGATAGATTCACCCTTGGGCCTTAGCTATATGTATATATATACAGTCAAACCTCAATATCTCGAACTCGATGGGACCAAGATATCCAAGGGTTTCAGATATCGAGGGTGAAATACTTAAGAAAAACTTAATTAGGACTTTCCAATCACTTTGGTATATCCATTGTATTCGAGATATCTGTGTTCGAGATACTGAAGTTCAACTGTATATAGAGATAGACTCACCCTTGGGCCTTAGTTACAATAACTAAAGCATGTGCAAAAATTATCCCAATTTATGTCAAGAGACATTTGCATGAGTATGCACTTTGTCAATCATTTGAATGGTTAGTAGCAAAATTTATTACATTTTCAATAGTGAAATACTGTGATATATTTATTGAATAAAAGTGATATTCTTTCACAGTGTGAAAGGATACCAAAATGATATTCTATTATAGTGTGAAAGGTTATCAAAGTAAGTAACAAGAGGCCCATGGGCCACATTGCTCACCTGAGCACATTGGCTAGGCAAAACCACAAATCAGTTCAGTATTGAAAAGGTTACGGGGGGGGGGGGGGGGGGGGGGGGAGATACCTGATGATGCTTTCATGTCAATATAACAAATGGCGTTGTTGTACTTGAGTAAATTTTGAAAAAATTTTCCCATATAATCCTTTGTAAAAATTTGATCCCCCATTGTGGCTCCTCCCTATCCCAGAGGTCAATATTTGAACAAACTTGAATCTACACTACCTGAGGATGCTTCCATATCAATATGACTAAACATAGCTTTTCTGTTCTTGAGAAGAAATATTTTTTCTGCATGTTCTTATATAAAACTTTCGATCCCCGATTGGGCCCCACCCTACCCCCGGGGTCATCATTTGAACGAATTTGAATTTACACTATCTGAGGATGCTTCCATATCAAAATGACTAAACATGATTTTCAGTTCTTGAGAAGAGGATATTTTCCTATTTGTTCCTATGTAAAATTTTTGACACCCCATTGTGGCCCATCCCTATCCCCGGGGGTCATCATTTTAACAAACTTGAATCTACACTACCTGAGGATGCTTCCATATCAAAATGACTAATCATGGCTTTGCAGTTCTTCATCAGAAAGATATTTTCCTATATATTTCTATTTAAGACTTTGATCCTCCATTGTGGCCCCACCCTACCCCAGGGGGTCATGATTTGAACAATCTTGAATTTATACTACCTGAGGATACTTCCACATAAATATGAACAACCAGGGCTTTGCTGTTCCTGAGAAGAAGATTTTTAAAATTTTTCCTATATATTTTTATGTAAAACTTTGATCCTCAATTGTGGCCCCGCCCTACCCCCAGGGGTCATGATTTGAACAAATTTGAATTTTTACTGCCTGAGGATGCTTCCATATAAATATTACCAATCAGGGATTTGCTGTTCTTGAGAAGATTTTTTAAAGATTTTTCCTATATATTTCTATGTAAAACTTTGATCCTCCATTGTGGCCCCGCCCTACCCTCGGGGGTCATGATTTGAACAAACTTGAATCTTCACTACTTGAGTATGCTTCCATATAAATATGACTCATCATGGCTTTGCTGTTCTTGAGAAGAAGATTTTTAAAGGTTTTTCCTATATATTTCTATGTAAAACTTTGATCCTCCATTGTGGCCCCGCCCTACCCCCGGGGGTCATGATTTGAACAAATTTGAATCTTCACTACTTGAGGATGCTTCCATATAAATATGACTCATCATGGCTTTGCTGTTCTTGAGAAGAAGATTTTTAAAGGTTTTTCCTATATATTTCTATGTAAAACTTTGATCCTCCATTGTGGCCCCGCCCTACCCCTGGGGGTCATGATTTGAACAAATTTGAATCTACACTACCTGAGGATGCTTTCATATAAATATGACCAATCAGGGCTTTGCTGTTCTTGAGAGGAAGATTTCTTTTTTTATCAAGATTTTTCCTATATATTTCTATGTAAAACTTTGATCCTCCATTGTGGCCCCGCCCTACCCTCGGGGGTCATGATTTGAACAAACTTGAATCTACACTACCTGAGCATGCTTCCATATAAATATGATTCATCATGGTTTTGCTGTTCTTGAGAAGAAGATTTTTAAAGGTTTTTCCTATATATTTCTATGTAAAACTTTGATCCTCCATTGTGGCCCCACCCTACCCCCGGGGGTCATGATTTGAACAAACTTGAATCTACACTACCTGAGGATGCTTCCACATGAGTTTCATCTTCCCTGGCTCTGTGGTTCTTGACAAGAAGATTTTTAAAAGATGCTATAAATTTTTCACTAATTCTTTATTATCTCCCCTTGAAAGAGGGCATGGCCCTTCATTTGAACAAACCTGAATCCCCTTCACCCAAGGATACTTTGTGGCAAGTTTGGTTGAAATTGGCCCAGTGGTTCTTGAGAAGAAGATGAAAATGTGAAAAGTTTACGACAACAACGACGCCGACGACGACACCGACGACGACAGACAACGGACAAATTTTGATCAGAAAAGCTCACTTGAGCCTTTGGCTCAGGTGAGCTAAAAATGATTTCTGGCCTGCCATTAGATATAGTAACTAAACCATCTTGATGGAGACTAAAACTGTAAATTTCCTCCCAGATATATTGCTAAAATCCATGTTACAATGTTTTCAATCTCACAATTAATTGGGTGAATTCCAAAAATATGTACAAACGCATATTTATCAACCTGTACTAAAAATGCAGGCAAAGGGAATAATTTTATATGTCTCAGCAAGCATGTCTTTACATAGTGTCTAAATACCTTCCAAATATCTCATTCATATCTCCAATCATAAAAATGATGCTAAAAATGTCAGGAGTGCATCACCTTTTTGTGACATTTTGAAAATTTAATATTTTTTGAAGATCTGTGAAATAAATAATAATGGTTTATGTTGGAAATAAAGACTATTCTGATATTCAAAGCATTGGCCTTTACATGTAGACTATAGCAACTTTTGTTTGACCAAGTTGTGGTCATGGCTGATGTTGAAAAAAATGTTATATCATGTCAGGAGTGCAACAGAAAAAATGTAGTGTTGCCAAAAAATCAGTGATTTTAAAAATCTGGAAGACAATTAAGTCCAAAAAGAATTTTCAAAGTGTAAAACAATAACTGATACACAATTTAATAAAACTTACAAATGTTCTATAAATCACAAGCAGCATTAATGAGATATCAAGTATCTGTGCATATAGTGGAGTTATAAGACCATCAAAAATTTGAAATTAATACACCACCCTACCCTATGGCTGATTTGTACTTTTATGGACGGATATATTATTAAGCAATTATTTTCGTCCAGCCGTAGAAAATTCTATGGTCAAAATTTTAAAATAATAGAAGGTTAAAGATCAACTACTGAAGTCTGACCATAATAATGAATATATTAAAAAAATCTAAGAAATTCAAAAATTTTCTCAAATTTTGCCATATCCATGATCACTTTGTGTGGAAATTTGAATTAAACAGTGAATATTCTGATTCCAAAGAAAAGGAACAAAAATTTGGACTATAATGTCCATCTTTCTCTCTGTAAAATTAATTGGCTTGAGATTAAATGCTAATGTACACACTTTTTTTTCATTAAGTACAATCAGGCATTATTAAGACAGGTACATGTATATACAGTAAGGAAAAATCACCCCCCCCCAAAAAAAAACCAAAAAAAAACCAAAACAAAAAACAAAAAACAATGGAATAGGACTAAATTTTGATTATTGTTGCTTAGAATGAAATAATATTTTTATTTAACATAACACATAATTAATTTTTAATATATTTAACTCTTTTGACATTTTCTGTTCCTGAAGCAACTTATTCAGTTATGTGACGTCATACATGTTTACGAGGGGGGATCAAAAAGTTCGCGAACTAATTCAATAACTTCCTTAAAAGAAGAAAAATGAGGTTTCAGTGTTCATTATTTCGTATCATAATTGATGATTTGTTTTTGTTTTTTATGCCCCCGTATCAAAGATTTTGAGAAAGTTTAACCTTCGCTATAAGTTGCCATACGGGGGCATCAGTGTTTCACAAACACATCTTGTTTTTTATAATTTTAGACTCGTTAAACAACTTCTTAAATTTGAAAGCAGTTTTATTCAAGGTTCTCATATTTTGACATACATGTTGGATGCTAATGACAGAGAATGGTTAATCTTTTGCAAAAGAGAAGACATTTTAAAAAAGGAAAAACTATCTAATGACCAAAGCATTTTTATATTAATGACCACTGATGGATTGATTCCTCATGTTTTGTTCAATTCATATCTTCCTTTGATTATTATTATTTTTTTTTGTTCTACACATGTATTTTAAAGAAAACTAGAGGTACTGTGAGCAATGTGAGCAAAATGGAAATATATAAGGGCATGCAGTATGTTTTAAGGACTCGAGATTCTGTGAAAGTTTCATCAATATTCATTCAGGGTTTAAGAAGAAACTGCGTTAAAAAATGGATACCCCCCTTTTCAAGAATAATGGCAGTGTCTATGTTTTGACATAAGAAAATTTTGACATTATGTTTGGTTCATATATGGTCAAATTTAAAGTCTTTCAAAAGTAGGTAAAATCCCAAGGTCAAAGGGTCAAAGTTGTTGGTATCCAAAGGAAGGTCTTGTTACAAGAATTACATATGTGAAGTATGAAAGCCTTAGCACCAATTATTCAAATGTAATGGCCAAGGTTAAAGTTTTTTCCAAAGTGGGTCAAACTCCAAGGTCAAAGGGTCAAAGTTGTTGGTATCCAAAGGAAGGTCTTGTTACAAGAATTACATATGTGAAGTATGAAAGCCTTAGCACCAATTATTCAAACGTAATGGCCAAGGTTAAAGTTTTTTCCAAAGTGGGTCAAACTCCAAGGTCAAAGGGTCAAAGTTGTTGGTA